CAGGCAGCACCTTCCAAATCCATAACCACATCCATCTAAAAGGACAATGGCAGCAGATATATGGGAACACCACCACTTGCAAGTTTGCCTCCAAGCCACACACCATCCTGATTTGGAAATACAGTAAATCTTCTGTGTTCACAATTTCATGACTTGCGAATTTGCCTATCCGTGTCAAAAAGCAAGTAGCGACAAAATTCAACATTCACAGGCAAACTCATGTTTTCCCAATTTTTAACCTATTTTTAATCTGTACTTTTAACAGGCTTCACACTCACAAATTTCATTATTCACGAGGATTCTCAGAAATGGAATCCTCATGCATATGGAGGAATGGCTGTATATCACTGTTCCTTCACTGTCACTCATCAAAATCCTGGAATTCCCCTTCTAATGACACTGTGGGTCTACCCACAGAAGGTGGACTGAAGTAGTTCAAGAAGGCAGCTTCTCAAGGGCAACCAGGGACGGGCAATAAATGCTGGCCAGCCAGCGACACCCATTATCCCATGAATGAATTTTTAAAAAGTTGAGACTTTAAAGAGATACAGTGCATGGAAATAATGTAGTCACTACTCAACAATGAGGTTCTGAAGTCAACATTTATGGATTTAGAGGAAAATATTTCTTAATGTTGAGATTCAGAAGTTTTCATTCTCACTGTATTTCCCCATCTTTCTAACTATTGCTCAAGCCATACCAGGAAGGGGTAATTGCATCATAGCTTTTCACAATAAAAGCATACATCCTTCAATAAAGGTATCTTTAAACATCAATTTCACAAATGTAACAACTGAGCTTTGCAATTTTGATCAAACGTTCAAGAAAGGCATTTTTTAATAGCTTAATAAGGGGAAACATTTCTCAGTTCATTGCTACAATACATAGACCAGGAAGGTCCTTGATTTAATCTATAGTCCGTACAGTTAACTGATTCACTGGACTAATTTGATTAGGACCCTCTCATTCTTCAACAGTAGATACAATGGCCGTTCATAAGAGTCCACAGGGCCCACAATTTCATCCTGTAGGCATAAGCAGACACATGAACAATTCAGCAGATCACTGTATGGTTTAACATGGGATCACAGCATGCAAATGCAAAGTATCCTATTTCCTGCTGATGGCTTCAGAAGGTCTTCACAAACAACCTAGGAGTCCTGGACTGAAATAGTTGTGAAGATGAAAAAACATTAGTGAGGAGCCAAAGGACTGGCGTCCAGTGTCGAAAAAGGATGAATAAACTCCTCCACACTACAGCTGTGGGCTTGAGGGGCAAACTAACAAAAAGGTGGATAAAAGATGAATAAGGCTCTCTCAATTGTAACTGGCACGACTTTGTACACTCACCATCATCCCCTACTGCATTGGCTGCATGGGTTTGTTTCTTTCACTTGAATCTCCTTCTTCCCTTCTGCCTCATCCATGTTTCCAGAGAGCATGACTTTTGGAAGGGTAGGTGAGCAGCCTTACACATCATGGCAACATTCTGGCAATAAGGCACTCTACATGATATCACTGTAAACCTTTTTAACTCTCTCCTCATGTATTTAGGACAAGCCAGCTCACAAAAGCAGGGAAGGTTGTGGTGGGGTGTTTGAAAGAGGCTTAACTGGAAGTACTGCACTCATCAGGAGAACAGGGTGGAGTTTGGAGTGGCGGTTTTGGCAAGTAAGGAGGATTTGCCTGTATCCATTATCTCTGGTTGAAATGATAGTCGGCTGCACCTATAGATAGGGGTGACCATTCAAGCACGACTCAAGTCATTGTTCATGGGTCCTTTGTACAAATGACTAATGTACAATTGAATTATGCTCCATAATTGTATAGCTCATTATTAAGTATATCAGAGATTATTGATTTTTGTGTATGGGTTTTGACATTGGCTGCAATTATCTAAGTCCACATGTTGATTTATGGTTGTGGAAAGCTGTGGCCTGAAGCGCAACACTCGACTATATTAATCAGTAGCTGATGTTTTGCCCTGAAGCATGTCAGTTGTCCTCATGGCGGCAAAGTCCATTCCTTTCCACTGATAGCTCTACATGCCTGTCCTGGGATGTCACATCCACCACTATCAGAATACCAAAGTACTGGCAAGCAGAAAATTGCAGTTGTTTCCAATATGTGCACAGTAACCTGGGTGCTTTCAGCTGTAAGCGGGGGCACTCACCTGACTTTTGTGTGACCACTGTATTTCACACGCAGTAACAAGTAGACCACAATGTGGAGCTGGAGGAACACAGCAGGCCAGGCAGCATCAGAGGAGCATGAAAGGTCAACTTTCCTGCTCCTCTGATGCTGCCTGGCCTGCTGCGTTCCTCCAGCTCCACACTATGTTATCTCTGACTCCAGCACCTGCAGTTCTTACTATCGCTGAACAAATGGGCCACTATCTTTTTCACTCTGGAAACAAGCCTAGTTTTTATTTTGCTTAATTGTGGCCAGCCTGAGCTTCAAACTCATGTCTTCTTGATTCCCTTGCACATACTCAACAGTTGCTGCAAGCAGGGGAAATTAGCAGCATTTTTGTAAGCCTGCTGTAATTATGCTATATACTATAAAAACTCTGCTGGTAATCCACTCCAGCAAAGTCCACTGCTTTGTCATTTGGAGGCTTTCTCTTGTTTCTTCTATCATGCAAGCCCCAATGTTAATGTCATTCACAACACAGACTAGAACGGTACCTGAAACAATTGTGCAGGTGTGTTTAGCCTGTTCTGCATATGGACAACTGTCCCTGGCACTCTTGCAGTTGATGGGTGTGTCTTGGATCACAGAGTGTATCCAAGTGGTTCTATTTGGATTTGGTTAAATGTAGTTAAGAGAAGGCTCAACAACAGCAATTTGCTTAAATGCCAACATTTATTAAGTAATAATAAAAGATGAAAAAGGAAAGGAACATTTCTTTAGTAAATAAAAAGAATGATAAAGAGAAGGAAAAACAATAAGTTTCACACCCTTCTGCCTGTCAGGACCCTTCAATCGGCGCCTGGTCTGGAGGCTGACGTTGTTCCTGGCACCATTCGCGATCCTGGTCCAAGGTGAAGTCCAGTGACTTTGAATGGAATTGTCTCTCTTATACAGTGTAACAAACAGCCAGGCACAGAAAAACAATTATAGAAAAACACATTGATTGTGCTGTCTTTGGCACGTGCAGGAATGTTCACAGGATTCATTCGAGGTCATGCAGCTGTTGAATATCATCAACAATTTTAGCCATTCAGCCCATCCTATACTGGGTGGCAATAGCATCAATGAGATAAAATATTGCTTTAAATGCTCTGAAGGCCACAAAGAATTGGCAAAATGATCCAATCCAAAGGTTTCTTGCTTAGACCAAAGAATGTGAACATTTTCAGAATTTTCAGTCAATGAACTGATAAATGAAGCCAAAATACTGCTGGAAAATAAACTCAAGAGTGCTGGAATAGCTAAGCAGGTCTGGCAACATTCGTGGAGAATGTAATAAATGGTAATAACTGGTACTCAATTAAAAAGAAACCTCTGGCAAGGTAGTTTGCACATGGTTATTTGGCAGATGTGGTTTGTTCCATTATGAAAAAGTATTGCTCATACACTCATTGGAAAGCAAATGGGTTATAATAGTGCTTCCCAAAGTAGGGTCAGGACCTTAAATGGGGTCCTGCATTGTGAGGCAGCACTGGCTGCTGTACAGCTGTACTCCTGCACTTAAAATTCTTGCTGAAAGGTCATGATAATTTTCAAGCCTCAAAATGGGTTTCTCCAGTAGAATAACATTGCTTCATTGGAGGCTCCACTGATGATGTCACCTAGCATGGTGACGAAACATCTGAACAAAAACAAGCCAGCTCGGTGAGCAAGTCAACAACCTCATCCACAACCCAAGCTACAGACCTTTGCCAATACTTTAAATAGGTTTCTCCGTTTGGGAAGCTCTGGATGATGGCCTAGAAAGCCAATCAGTACAATGCATCCAGGGACGGACATCAAATGTCAGCCTTGTCACATAAGACTGGGTGAACGTTATTGCTGGTGACTCTACTGTGATACTTCTCAATGGTACTTTGTCTTTCTTGCACAATCAAGGTTTTTGCTGTCCTGGTTAGACAACAGTCCATTTTAAAGCTACTGCGCTCTCAGGGTCAGAGGTTGCTCTTTCATTCCAGAAAATGGTAGGAGGTTCCTTTGAAAGGAAGCTGCATCTCAAGCAGATATTAGGTTTGAGAAGGTGGGAGCCTTCAGGGTGACTTCAGCCAGATGGGAAACAAATCCATCATTCTCCAGTGATCATCAGAAACAGGAACAGGAATAGGTCATTTGGCCCCTGAAGTTTGCTCTGCCATTCAATAGGATAATAGTCAATCTGTCATTTCTTATGTATACTTTCCTGCCCTTTCCATGCAACCCTTGATTCCCCTACTGATCAAGAATCTATCTCAGCCTGAAATACACACAAGGTCTGTGCGCTTACAGCTCTCTGTGGCAAGGAGTTCCGAAGACATGCAACCATCTGCGTGAAGAAATCCCTCCTTACCTCAGCCATAAATCGGCTCCCCTTTATTCTGAGACAATGTTAACTGGCCCGAGGCTCTCCCATGAGCAGAAATAGTCGTTCAGCATTTACCCTGTCAATGCCTTTAACAATCCTGTATGTTTCACTAACATCACCTCTCATTCTTCTAGACTCCAATGAGTCCCAGCCTGTTTAATCTTTGCACATAATACAATCCCTCCATACCAGGGATCATCCTAGCGAATCTTCTCTGAACTGCCTCTAATGAAATATGATTTTTCTTAAATAAGTGCAGGTCAACCTCTCAGCCTACTGAACTGACCAAGTCGCATTGTAGACAGTAGATGGAGTACGGAAACTGTCAAGTGATCAACCTGCACCTACAGCTCCCCCTGGTGCTGCAGGGCCAGGAAACGCCCCCTCCTGGTGAGAGGAGCTAGCGCACGCCTGCGTACAATATTCGCTTCGCCGCGGACGTGTAGTTACGCGTGCGCGGTGAGGGGCCCCGCCGTCACTGTGCGGTGCTCGATAGGCTCTGGGCGGTGATGGCGGATGATGGGGGCTGCCCCCAGTGAGCCGTGTATCTACGAGAAGCTGGCTGACAGTGTGGAGGTGCTGCGACAGTCCGGCGAGCGCTATGGCATGTCCGAGCGCGATATTGAGCGGTTCATCGCCCAGATCCTGGAGACCAACGAGCCGCAGCGGGAAGCGGTCAGACACCCGCGGCTTATGACAGCGGCCAAGGTGAGGGAGCGGCCGTGAGGGTGATGGCGGCGGTGCTCGAATGCCGTTCAGACACCCGCAGGCTACCCACCGTTTCCCAAACTTTTCACACTTTCACTTCTCAAACCCTGATTGTATTTCTGCACAGATGCTGCCAGACCTGAGGTTTTCCAGCAACTTCTGTTTTTGCTCCTGATTTACAGCATCCGAGGTTCTTTCGGCTTTTGTTGGTTTATAGGCCTGGCAACTTTGACTATGTTTATCTTTAAGGATTTGGTTGATCCTAGGAGAAATGTCACAAAATGACCAGCAAAGGAAATAGATTTTGACATATACCTGTTTCTAGGAAGGTGGTTAACCAGGGAAGTTAAGAAAAACATCACATTGAAAGAAATATGCAGCAGGGGTTATTAGTAAACCAGAGAATTGGAAGGTTTTTAAAAGTGACAAAATGACTAAGCAAGGGAGAATATAAAAACTTTTGAAGGTGAACCAGCAAGTATTATAAAAGAGACAGTAACAGCTTCTTTAAATAGATAAAAAGGAAGAGGAGCCAGAGTGAACTTTGAACCCTTAGCGAACAGTCTAGGAAAATAATTAGGAATCAGGAAATAATAGGGGAGTTGAACAAATAGTTTGCATCAGTCTGTTTGGTAGAAAGCAGTAATAGTATTCCAATAATATTAAGTAATCAAGGAGGAACAAGAGGAATCAAAAACAATAACTGTCACTAGAGAAAAATACTTGCCAAACTACTGAGGCTAAATGTCACTAAGTCCCCTGGACCTGATGGGATGCATCCTAGGATATTAAAATAGGTGGCTATGGAGATAGTGGACTGGTTGTAATCTTCCAGGAGTTCTTAGATTCTGAAAAAGAGGATATGAGAGTTGGCAGATGGAATATAATGTGGGAGTATATGAAGTTATGAAGAATAGTGGAGTTGGATATTATTTAAACAGAAAAATTTAGAAAGCTGTCACACAGAAGGATTTGGGAGGCATTGTGCCTAAATTACAAAGTTGGCTTCTAAGTTTGGAAGTTAATAGAGAAGACAGACAGAATGTTGGCTTTTATTTCAAAGGCAATGGATTATACAAATAGTCTCATTAAAACTATACAAGGCACTAGTTAGACTACAATTAGAATACTGAGTGTTTTGGCCCCCTTATCTGAGCTTCTGGATCGGTATATGAATAAGAAGGGTTTAGAGGAATATGTGCCAAATGCTGGATTTATCTAGGATATCTGGTCAGTATGGATAAGTTGGACCAAAGGCTCTGTTTCTGTGCTGTATATCTGTGATTCTATGACTCTAAATACTTCCTGGCAGTGAAGGTAGTCCAGAAAAACTTCATTAGGTTGACCCCTGGTATGAAGGGATTTTCTGTAAGGAGAGGTTTCATAGATTGAGCCTATACTCTAAACTAACTGGAGTTTAGAAGAATGAGACATGATGATATTGAAGCATACAGAATTGTTGCAAGGCTTGATAGAGGAGATGCAGAGAGGTTCTTTCTCCTTGTGAGAATTGAGGACTAAAGGGTGTAATCTCAGAATAAGGTGTCTCCCAGGTAAGGCTGATATGAGGAGGAGTTTCTTCTTTGAGGGTGGTGAATCTAAAGAATTCTTTACCACAGAGGGCTGTAGAGGTTTGGTCAGTAACAATTTTCCCTTTAAGTTGCATGTGCAACCACTCCAACATTCATTGCACAGCGATCAGCGTCTGCATGCCAATTGCAAAATTGATGTGTGGTTCTAGTAACTGCTGCCATTCACGACCTCGGAGGCTGGAAAGAAAATTTAGAGGGAATGATGGTCATTATATTCAAAACTGAAGTAGACAGATTTTTCTTTCGAAACAGAATCAAGGCTTATGGGGAAAAGGAAGGAAAATGGAGTTGAGAATTATCAGATCTGTATGATCTCGTTGAACGGTGGAGCAGACTTGATAGGTCAGATGGCCCACTGCTCTTTCATCATATGGTCTTGAGGTGACTAGTGAATGGGTTTTTTAATAAAGTAGACTTTTAAATTCAGTCAGGGTGCTGGAAAGTGATGCGAGTGTAAATTAAGTTGGGTGACTAAAGGTGACTGTTTTAGAGTGGCTGTGGTAGTCAAATACAGCATTACCATTACCCATTTGTTAAAGACATGTCATGCATAAAGAACTTGTGTTTTGAAGAATTGATTGGATTAAGGGGATGGCCTATATACAGTGGGTCAATTAGCCCAGTTGACTCCATGTCTGATTTGTGATGGAGTATGATGCCAGTAATGCAAGCTGAATTCCCACACCAGTTGTAAGTTACCATGAAGATCCCACCTTCTCAACCTCACTTGTCACCTGAGGCATATTGACTGTCAGGTTAAACCACCACTCTCTAATGAGAGAATAGCCTATAGCCCATTAGGACTGTGACAACCTTACCTTTACCCTATCTGTAATGCAGATGTTCATTTGGAAAGGGATTAAATGTGTACTGAAGAAAGTCATCCCTGTATGCACTTTGTTTTTGTCTGTGGATGCATATGTATCCTTGACTGTACAATAATTATGATTTGAACTTGACCATCAATGGGCATGATTGCAAAAGACATCAGGAAGCACAGGCAGGTGAAACAAGCAGGCAATATAGAATTTAGCCTTGTTCATAATTAGAAGCAGTGAAATTGATATAAAAATATTACAGTATCGATGAACAGAGATGCATTGTATAATTTCCTGTTAGTGCGTACACAGATTAATGGTTATTTGAGAAAAATACCCAGAATAGTTAGGGGCATCAAGAACAAAAGTAAAATAATAGTGATTAGGCCACATTAAGAGTGCCATACCATATTGGAAAAAAGGTATTATAGCAACAAAACCATGACTTTTGCATGTGTTGTTGTGAAAGAGGAGCTGACCCTTTAGGTGCCACATAAATCATAAGATTTGTTTCGCTTCCTGAGTGGTGGAATGGATATGATCACTTGGTTCCTGGTTATGTGATAACTGTTTCCATTGCATCAGTCATTAATTCTTCAGTCTAGGTGCCATGCTGCATCAACTCATTGGAATTTCTGCACTTTCTACTTTAACTCATGAATTAAGTGGTGATCCTTGTTAATAAATTTAGGCAATGGTTATAACATCTTTGAGATTTTCTTTGACATATTTTACTTTCCAATAAGATTAATACGTGGAACTTTTTCTTGGCTTTTGAATGTTTTCTATTAACATGATGCAGAGTTTCTAAATAATTACTTATTTAAAGTGGCAGAGATATCTTGGTAAAGGGAAAGGCATCAGAATGCTGTCATCAGAAGAAAGGAACGGCGTAAGGTGAGATCCATTGGAGGATTGGTTAAGTGTACTGATTGCAGATGTTTTGTGAGTTGCTGCTGGTTTTTAATTAATGCTGTTATCTGAGTATCAGTGTTAGAAAAGAACAAAGCTAGATGGGCCACTAGGTGCAAACCCTGTCCACAGAAAGCAGGACAAATCCAATTTTGTCAGTTCCCGTTCGATCGGTCTACTCTCGTTCATCAGCGCTGAATACTGCAGTAGAAAAGGTAACAGGTCGCACATCTCCAGTCACCCACAGGTACTGAGAATACATCTTGAGAAGACCTGTAAGCAAGGGCAAAAATCCATCCAGTTGCACTCTGAGCAACTTTAAAATTCCTGTAATGTGTTCTTTAATAACTTGTGTTCATTTTTGAGTTGTTAACTGATATGGAATCCGTGAGATGTAGGGCATGGAAAGGTCTATAAATGAGGACAGTGCTGAAAGTAGCCCTTGGAATCATGTAATAATGGTAAGGGCATTTAACAAAAAGCACCCTCGGAGAGAAGACAATTGTTTACCCTGACATTTAACAGAATCTTAAGAGGGATGTGTGGTTATGAGTAAGTTACATGTCTCCCTTTCTCTTGTGCTGATATTGGATCCATACGCATGGGTGTGTTTCCATAGTCTGCCTGTTCTCAGAGCACCTTCAACCCATCTTACTCATCAAAGATGGTGGGCACGCTGTTTGATTCTGTGTCCAGTTTGACCTTCCTCTGGAGTACCAGGTTAAACAAAGTGCAACATATCTCTGTGATATGTGACTTATTTAATGGGACATATTACAACGCTGTCCCAGAAGGCAGCTGAATTTCATTTTCAAATGGTCAACGGTCCTATTCCATGTTGTCCTTGCAATCACATGGCAACAAGTAAGGGTGTTTCCTGGCTGTGTTGGAATAAAGTACAGTTGTAAGCATATATATATGCCGTTGTTGCCCAGAATCCATCCATTCTGGTTTTTGGGTAGCCTGAACAAAGACCACCGGGGCATTTGTGGGACACAAGTTATGGCAGTTCTTGGAAACTTTGCAGACACTTGCAGAGTGCTTTTGGTGTGCTCACAGTCTACATGAATAGTAGCGAGTGAAGCTCTTTCCTGATAACCGGAAAATTTTAGTTGGCTGCATGAATGCAGTTAATTGCTCCTACATCTGAGGGAATCAAGTCGTGGTCTAGCTGGCCTGATCTGCATGATAAATGCCTTAGAATATTAGCATTTGGCACATGGCATCTGTTGCCTTGATAGTGATGTACTGTTGATGGAAAGATCCCAAATGATCCTTGAAGGCTTGTGGTGAATAAGTTGAGGTCTGCAAGCAGTTTCGCAGGCACTGGGATGGGTGGCCAGCAGATCCTAGTGGACACAGGTCCTCTTGCAGAGTTCTGCACAGGTTGACGACCAACCTTCCACAGAGTTCTCAGCTCCTTTGAACAGATGATCCGGTGATGCTCTGTGAAGCTTGTAGTTAAAAAGTATTATTCTATTGATAGTTTTTTTTCTTCCAGCAGTTGTGCTTTATAAGTTGGACTAGCGTGCAGCCAGTGGCCTAGATTTTGTCGTAATGATTGAAAAGCTGTTGCTGTTTACAACATTACTGAAACTGATTTCAGGAGTCTGGTCATGTGTGTGGGAACACAGGACTGTAGAGGTGGTCTCAATGATTTTAAGCTTCTCCAGCACATACGTTGTTATGGCAATCTACCATACTGCAATCAAGGGCATATGTGTGGACTGATGAGAACTTACATTTCAAAATTGTTTGTCTCATCGTAAAGTCCTTAATAAAGTTGGATGTTGTTGAATACAATATAACTAGGTTTTTAATGGCATACTAATTTCATAATTACCGCTGAACACTATTGCTTGTCCTGAGGGCAAACTTGCGTTGGTAGAATATGTGATTTTTCTACTATGATGTAATCTGCATCTTACATCTGAAAGTTTGTTGGTATGGTTTAGCCTCTGTTTAAATCCAATTATCATTTACTTCATTATTTGAAAATTTAAAGTAAAAGTGAAGGATCAAGTGTTTTAAACTTCAAAAACAAAAACAAATTGCTGGAAAATCTCTGGCCTGGCAATATTGTGAAGAAGAAGCAGAGTTATTGTTTTGGGTCTAGTTTTCTTCTTCGGAACAGTCTTTAACTACTTGGTTTGTGAGAATGTTTGTGTGATTAGGTGTTACCAGCTTGCTGGCACCACTGCTGCTGTAACAGAAATCCCATTACCCTGGCACCAGATTTAAATTGTTAGGATAGATCTTGATGGGCAGCTTTTTTCCAATTCAGTGAATGTTTTTGTTTTAGAGCTGATTCACCCTGACTCTGCAATTGGTTAATAGCCTGTGTTTTTAACTGCAAATTTCTTCTACTTTATTTTAGTGCTTTTTAAAATTCTCTTTTGTAAGGTAGTAAGTAGTAGGCTGCACACTTGAATATAAAAGGACAGATAGCAGGTTTGAACTTAGAACTTTTTAGCTGCATTTGGGTCATTGCCCTACTGTTTACCATAGGAAGCTGGCCACCTCAGGCTCTATCTGGGTTTACCCTTTCAAAACTTCAGGTAGAATTAATCTTTTGAGATGTAACTCATTATAAATAGCATCCAGAATAAGGAAATGGTTTTAAAAAAAAAAACAACTTTTGTGAAATTGGAAAGAGAGACAAACGGAGTCGTCAGCACTAATTTAAAGACAGTAGGGGGAAGCAGGTTGCTTTAGTTTGAAAATCTTTTATTGAAACCACACTACAGAGCTAACATCCCTAATTTGGAGCTATGACACTAATTGCACAATCTTCAGGGCCATTGCTGTGAAAGAGAAGGGAATTATCTCTGGTACTATGCAGGAGTGTTTCTTGGATTGGTGGAATTGTATTTTATATCACGTGTTTCAAATTTTTAAATGTTATCTGTAAATTGTTAATTGTTTTATTGTTGAACTCAAAACTGCAGCATTGCACATTTGTATTTCAGTGAGACATAACCTTGCTGGAACTTTTTTGTTTCTTGTTTTGTTTTAAGTCATATTTCAGTCTGGGACCCGAGTTCTGCAGGAATAGCATCATCTGGTATCATAATACTGTTATTCACGTTGCAGTGAATCTCGCAACACTCAATATTTTTGGTCCTAATGACTTAGAGATATTAAAGACTGCTTGTGTTTATGAATATTCAAGGTGCAGTTTATGAACATTGATTAAAATACTGAATGTAATCCTTACTAAAGGTTTCAGATTCATAACTTGTTCGCCAGCAAATCATCTTGTTAATTCGCACAAGTTAACAAATTTTGTCATTTAGATCTTGTGGAGTTAAATTATCTGCCTTGTTTATTCCCCCAATAGGTTGTGGTAGCCCTGGGACTTCTCATAACTGCAATTTATTCCATCATCATCCCCTATGGCAGATCTCATTGCCAGAGTGCAGTCACAGAAGACCAGAGCTGGAGGAGTCCGATAATTAGTCATATCCGTCTTTTTTGTCTACCAATTGCCAAAAAATACAATCTGGAAGGTAAGATAATTCAAATTTTGCTAAAGATTCCACTGAGCTAGTGACTTTGTGGACGTCTAGTAAGTTTAAATTTAAATTGGTAGGACTTCTTCTAATTTGTACAACAACTATAGTAAAATAAATTTATTTTGTCTCAGCACTTTGCAGATCTCAACATGGGAGAGACACTACAACTGTAGAAAAACATCATACTTAATTGATCTCATAATATTGATAGCTCTGCACTTCCCAATTTTCAATTTCAAAGGGGAAGAATAAAGAACACAAGATTAGAATTGTTTCAAGTTTGGGTAGATATGTAAAAATCCAAAGCAAACTAGATAATTACCTATGCACACGTTTAAGGAGGAAGTTTAACTTGCCAGGATAGGTGGTGGTTGCTGCTTGTGACAAATTAAAAGAACAAAAAAAATCTTGATAGAAGCTGGCCGAAACGCATCAACTTTAACGTTTAATTTGTGTGCATTTGGTGGAATGGGAAATGCCTAAGGAACTTGCAGGTTAGCTATTAACATGAACTGAAAGGTGATAAGTGTACATTTAGCTCTGGAGTATGAACATATGATTCTTTGTCTGTGTATAAGTTTCGCAGGTTCCCTGGAATTTGCTTGGCTGAACAAGACAAAAAGTACAGTGGAGATCAATGATGATGTGTAATTACTCGGTTGGAAAGCCTTTAAATACTGTGATATGAAAGTTGATGTTTCACTCAAGTTTTGTCAAAGGCTTTTGCTGTCTCCACTTATTTTACTGCCTTGGAAATACTTTTAAATTTGTTGCCTCTGACCAGTACTTTTCGTCTGTGTGCCTTCTCAACAGCCATGGACCTTGTGGGTGGGGAAAAAAGGAGAATAGTAAGCAGCCTTCTTCTCAACCATCTGCTGCTCCAAAGCAGTTTCAGGCTTCAACATTCAATCAACCTGTTTTACTAACTGCTGAAATTGCTGACAGCTCTGAGAAATAAAACAAAAGCAAGTGTTGGAAATGATAGTATATTGCATGGATAAAGGATTGACCAATGGCGAATTGTAACTAGTGGGGTTTCACAGGAATCAGCACTGGAGCCAAAATTATTTCCAATATATATTAATGACTTGGATGAGGAAAGTGAATGTACTGTAGCCAAATTTGCAGATAGGAAGGCTAGTGCTGAGAATGACAAAAAAAACATGCAAAGGGTATAGACAGGTTAAACAAATGGGCAGAAACTTGGCAGATGGATTATAATGTGAGAAAATGAGGTTATGCAGGAAGAATATTATTTAAATCAAAGGTCACAGAAAGCTACACACCAAGGATTTGGAAGTCCTGAATAAATCACAAAAAGCTAGCATCTATGTTCTGCAGGCAGTAGGGAAGACAAATGGAATGTTGTCCTTCATTGCAACGGAAGAGAGTATAAAAATAGGGAAACCTTGTGAAAGCTATAGAAGGTATTGCTGAATGACAGCTGGAATACTGTGAACAGTTTTAGTCCCCTTACCTAAGAAAAGATATATTCTGATTTTGGAGGCTGTCTAGAGAAGGTACACTAGATTAATCTCTTGACTTTGAGGAAAGTTTGAGTACATTTGAGTCATTGGAGTTTAGAAGAATGTTAGGCAACTTTATTGAAGAATAGAACAAAGATTTTTGAGTGACTTGACCTGGTAGATGTAAAAAGGTTTTTTTTTGTACGAGTATCTAGGATCAGAGACCATGATCTTGGAGTAAAGTGTTGCCCATTAAGAATCGATGAAGAGGAATTTATTCACTCGGGGTAGTGAATTTATAGAATTCTTTACTGCAGTCATCTTTGGTGTCCTAAGCGCACTCAAGGTGCAATAAATTTTTAATTATTAAGGGATTCATGGATTATGGGTGAAAGACACAAAAGTGGAGTTGAGGCTTGTCAAATTAGCCATCATCTCATTGAATGGCAGAGCACACTCAATGTACTGAATGGCCAACTTGTAATTCTACATCCTATAGTCTTTGGCTTAGATTGCTGCTAACGTTCCCTCTAAGCTGTTCAGTTGCGCTGCTGCTCCAAGGTTCATCAGAGATTCCATGCTGTCAATCGATATGCCAATACATTGACTTCTTGTTTTGGGAGTCAGTGTCATACAGCGTGGAAACAAACCCTTCGATTCAACCAGTCCATGCTGAAAATAATCCCAAACTAGACTAGTTCCACCTGCCTGCTCGTGGCCCATATCCCTCCAAACCTTTCCTATTCATGCACTTATCTAAGTGTCTTTTAAACATGGTAACTGTACACCCAACCACCACGTCATCAGAAAGTTCATTCTACACACGAACTACCATCTGTGTAAATATTTTGCCCCTCATGTCTTTTTTTAAGTCTCTGTTCACTCATCTTAAAAAATATGCCCCCGGTCTTGGAAATCCCCATGCGAGGGAAAAGACACCTACCATTAACTCAATCTATACCCCTCATGATTTTATAAACCTCGGCAAGGTCACCTCTCGGCCTCCTGTGCTTCAGTGAAAAAGCCCCAGCCTATCCAGCCTTTCTTTATAACTCAAATTTTCCATACCCAGCAACATCCTGGTAAATTTCTTCTGAACCCTCTCTAGCTGAATAATATCCTTCCTATAATAGCAGTGCACATGTGGACCTTGGAGGGGAACATACTGAAAGAGATCATTAAAGGGAATATTGGTTGCTACCTACTTGTGGGTCTCAGTTTAGGTTCCTGCTGTGTCTCCTGCCAAACATAATGTTCTAGACTGAGCCCAACTTTAGAACAGAGTAGACAGTGTGTCCTTTTTGATTTAACTGTTCTTTCAATATTGATCTATTTATCAAAGGCCCAAGATGATTGAACGTGATTGGCAGCCGGGAAGTTAAACAGTGTGGTGGAGTAGGGGGGGCTTTCTGTTGTTTGTTTCCATAACATGCAAACATACAGCACCAGTGCTAGTGTGTTTAACTTGTGACTGTTCAAATCATTAATGTATGAGCTTAATTATTTACTTTTGAGGGAATACAACCAACTGCTTTTATGGTGTGGTTTCTACTTTTGTATCTGAACTTGTGCTCCTAGTGATGATTGAATAGTATGGAAATACATGTTTCTGTTTTCATAAAATATGCAAGCAAATATTTACTTCCACCACAAGGGTAGCCAGTCTGATATAAATTCCTTAGTCTTTTAAAGCCATGTTTTAGCTTTTGAGATTCAACCCTCGTCAATACTTACTTGCTAGATTACTCTTCCCTATGATAGCTTCCGAGATTTGACCGTGCCATCTCGACTTCCACTTTCTCAATCGTTGCAACAAATTGAGCAGTTAAGTTACAACAAACTTTAAAAAAAATTCAACTGCACAAAGCTAGAGTTGAATATAGAAAAGTTCTTTCAAATTTTTAAACTAATCAAACCACTTAATACTTTCTTCTGAATCCTTTTAATGTTATTTGTTTCACCACTGAAAATAAATGGATCTAAATCACTTTCAAACACAAACTTTTAAATATTTTTCCCTTGACATAATTATATTTGGTATCTTTTCAATATTTGAGTGTTCTCATCCCCAAGCTCTTGGCTGTGTTGTATTACAGTTGGAAATTTGACACTCTTACAAATTATGAACATCTGTGTGCTTTTCTGTTTCTCATATTAAGAATACATGGTCATTGCCTACAAATGTCTCACCCTGATTTTTGTTTTTGGTTACAGCCTTCAGTTCTGCTTGTGAGACTGCTACCAATTGTTATTGTGTGTATGTCCACTACAATAGTTTGCTCTTTTGACTTAAATGAAAACAGAAAAGGCTGGAAATAATTAACAGATCTCAGTCTGTGGAGTATCAAGTCTTTGATCTTTCATCAGAAGTTTTGACTTTGTGTACAGCATCATGGAGGATTTGCTAGCTTTTACCACACCAAATCCAGAGCATTCAATCATAGGTGAAACTTTAGCATAGTACAGAAGCCTTTGTACTATGGGACAAATGTTCATTTGGATAGAACACTAACCCAAGGCCCCACTTTTTCCTCTTATTTATTTTAAAAGTCCTTGGCTGTTTGAGGAGCAGGCACCCCTCCCAATAAGCTAGCTAATATTCTTTTCACAGCCAGAAATAAATATTTTGGTTTATTTGTCAGACTTTCGTATGCACATTTGATGTATTGATCTATGGAACAACAAAACATATATATTTGAGAAGTTGGGAAAGATGAGAAATTTGTTTTATAATGCTAACATATGAAATTTGGTGCATGAAACAAAGGAGTATTTTAAGGTTATGTTTTGTTTTAATACTGAATTCTGGGGCAGATGTCTGCAAATAAAGTTATAATATGTCGAATGTCTGTTTGGTTTGGGTTCAGCCTTGCTCTTGAATTTTTGTTTCCACCCTTAATTAACATAACAATGCTCTTCAGGTCTCCAAAAAAAATTAGAGACACGATATGTCCCAGTTGAAGCAGTGAGTCACACAGGAGTGATTCAGCAACATGCTTTGTATTTCAGTACTTTTAATTACTAGTGCGGCTGCAGGTGGTCTCCCACCTTCAAATTTGGAACTATAATCAATAATGATATGTCCTTGTGTTACAGGGTTACAGTAGCATGGAAGTGAAAGAAATCTATTTAGCACTTTGAGCTTGATGTACTCAAGCTTGAGCTTGAGAGGAGATGTCCAACATTAAAAGGTTTTAATAAAGTAGACCATCATTGGTCAGGATGACACTATTTTAAAGCAGTAATTAAAAAGTGCTCAGTCGCTTTATTCTTATACGGTGTTTTTGGATGGCATGAAATGCATTACCAGACACAGTTGTAGATCACTGAATTCTGTGCAACATCTGTTAAACCTGCATGTGGCATGCATTTAAGATAAGGGACAGCAGGTTTAGAGGAGATGTGAGGAAAACGTTTTCATCCAGGGGTAGTGGGAATCTGAAACTCACTGCCTGCAAGAGTGGTAGAATTAGAAACCCTAAGACATACAAGGCCATGGGCCAAGTGCTAGAAAATGGGATTAAAACA